ACTCTATCTTTTGAATTATATAAAGTCTTCTTTTTAATATATAAGTGTTAATTATTTAAATATTTAAATATTATTAGACTTATAAAGAAATTATGTTGGAGGGCATCATAATAATTAGTTGCCTAGGACCTCTAAATTCTCGAGGCCGGCCTTCAATTCATAAGAACTGATGTAAAAGACAAATCCTTCATGGGCTAATTGTAGAGCTTTAGAAACTCACTTGGCACTTTGCACATTTAAATTAAGTGCATCGCTTTCCACAATGGTAATTTAATATCTCATCTCCTTCATGAATAAAAATTCCTCTCGAAATGCTAAAGTTTCGGAATGAGGCGATGAGACATTTGTAGTCAAATTTATTTATTTCTATTTAAAATTATGGATAACTTCATCCTTTAACGCCCTCTTAACGTCAATTTTGAATAGAAACGGATAGATATAGAAGTGCAAATGAGGATAAGATTCAGGAATGACACTAACAATTTACCCTTCTCAAATAAACTTCGCAGACAAGCCTAAATAGATATGTATAAAATTCAATTTACTAAATTCAGTAAAATATAAGTCTCCCAATTACCTCTTCTCCCCAATTTTTTATTTTTTTCATGGAAAATGAAAATAGAGGCCATAGACAAGAAGGATAAGGGAGTAGGAAGTTTCTCTTAAGAGTAGGACTATGACATTCCCAATACTTGCTGGCTAAGTTTTCATGTCTCGTAGCATAGGTCACCTTTTTTTTAACCAAAATAACAAATCCATTCTTAAAATTATAGAGATGGAAACGTGATATCTTTTTGAGGGCCCTACCTCTATTATTTGACCAATCTTCGTACAGGGTAAATTACACGTTTAGCCCTTATTTGGTCCTCATTATTTCTCACTTATTTTCAATCACATTTATTAATAAAATAAGATTATACGCAAGCTCAATTTTTTCCTTATTTTTTAACCACACATTTTCCATCAAACAAAATATATTTTGGACAAAAAAGGGACTCAAACAGACACTTTATTTATTAACTTTTGTGATTTGTCACCTTAGTCATTTATTAATAATAGTTATGTTGTCATTGCATTTTGTTTTGTTTTAGGCGTGACAAAAAAATTAGATCGATTTGAAACTCGTGATGCCTTGACCTGTAAGGCGAGAATTCCTTATCCCATTGAGTTGGTGGGGCAAGTTCGGGACAAGAAACCTTCCCTGATTTAGGTTGGGGATGGGTATCAATCGTCCCATCCCGCTTAGTATTACTTAAAAATGAATTTTTAAATTTAAAGACAAAAAAAAAATTAAAAATATATATAAATAAAATACTAAATGAAGCTATAAATGAGGAAAATGAGTGTTCTGCCCCGTCCGTCTTAAGCGATGCACATTCTCCAGCCGGACGGAGCGCAGAATGGATGCCCATCATGAACCCTCCCCATTGCCATCTGTATGCATCACTATTTAATTATACTAAAGACACTTGTGCCATTGTGCATATATATATTTTTTTATGTTTTTATTCTTAAATTTTCATCGGTTACTAAAATTGGTTCTTGATGATGGTTTTTGTTCAAATAAATCTGTTAGTGTGATTTGAAATGATGAGCAAAATTTTGAGTCACGTTTTTTTATCACTGTATTTGTTTATTTAAAAATACGAAGGATAATAAGTCTTTTATGCTATACTTTTTAAATGAAAATCGTTATCAAACACCTAATGTGCTAATTGATAAAAGATTGAATATACAAACGTGACAATAAAGTTGGGAATTTAAGTGCAATAATGAGAAAATGTTGGATGTAATAAAAGAAATAGCAGTGTTAAATATATCTACATTTCACAAAAACCAAGTTAAAATGGGATGAAACGATAAGATTATTCTTACATTGTAAAAACAAGAAAAAGATAATTTTTGTTCACTCTTATATAAAGATGCTCTTTCTCTACATTTTACTATGCTATAAAACAAGAAAAAGATAATTTTTGTACATTCTTATATAAAGATGCTCTTTCCCTACATTTTACTATGCTAGCTTCGGTCCTCTACTTCTGAGATCCCCTATTTGGGACCAACATTATTTGACATGTTCTATGTTGGAAGGTGTGGAATCCTCTTCTACCATTTCCACTCGATGAAACCCATAGAAATTCTTTAGGAATGAAGAGGCCGATAGATGGTCAAGTACAACTCCTAACTAATCACGCTCTTTATATCGATCGTTCTACACGTACGTGCCCTTCTACACAGGGCCTGTACAGGGTGACGTGCCATGTATTTAAAAAAATAAAAAAAAAAAGAAAAAAGAAAAAAGAAAGCAATTAAAAAGACGGAATACCGATTGACACTCTCATTCTCGATCACTCATATTCCACCAATCCTTTGAAAGCCACGAATCGCATTCATCACTTCCAGCTGTTGTCACCGCCACAGTCCCTCCCACCTCTGGTCGCCGTCGACCCACTGAAGAACAACTCTTTCGCAATCTGATTAGCCGTAAAATAAATCGCACCCATTCCTAAAAGTTTGGCCCGAATTTGAAGAACAGCTAAATCGTTTGTAATACCGTAACTTCTGTGCCCCCTCCAGGTAAAATTGAATTTGAAATTTCAGCGAAGCTATAATTTGTTAACCGTATTGTAGTGGTCGTAGATTCTGCACCTGCATCCTCACCCTCATAATCTGTAGTATTAGTTGGATGGATATGTCGAACAGAATTCAGATACGTGCTGGTGGCTATCTTAACTTCTGATCTGGCTGCCAAGGTTGATTTTGCTATAAAATGTGGGTTTACCTGGCATATATGTTTCTGGAAAACGTTAAGATGATTTCTGGGTATTTCTCCAGTGCACTCTAGATTAGCGTGTGAGGAGTTATGGAGAATTTCATTCGTAACGAAATGGTTTATACAGAGAAATAATTTTGTATTGTTTCAGTGTTCCTTGGAAAATGTTATATTGTTTGGTATTAATTTGTTTGAGTTTGAGGGCTTTAAAATGCCAATAATCATAAAAGGAAGGAAATGAAAATTATATGCATTCCCGCTTACTTGCATACTGTGTTGTGGTTTGCAGTGAAAAATGTGGGTCCGACCAAGAGAATCAAGCCACTAGTCGAGTATCGGTAGCATTACTGCGTCTAACCCTGTGGCAAACGTAGCAATTGAAGATAGGCCCGCATGTTCCAATCTCTAGTTCGGCTAACTGACGAAGAACTTCAAATTTCTGTGAACGTGATGATCCGCAAGGGAAAAGCAAGTGCCGAAGGGAACACAAAAGGAAAGTGGCTGGCTCGAATATTAGATGTTGTCTGTTTTGCTTGATGGGTTTATCATTTATGTGTACGTATAAACAAAACTCTGCTATGTTGATTAGTTGAGAATGGGTTGATGGAGTTGAAAGTGGTTTGTCTTTGTACTTTGAAAGTTTCTTTGCCCTTAGAAATTATTATTTAGTTATAGAGTTGACTTTAAAATTTAACACCTGCTCGGGCTCGGTTACACCAAGCCTAGGCTTGGGCCGAGCCCCATTTTGGGGCGTCGGCTCGAGCCCGAGCCTGCCCGTGGCCCAGGTGAGCCTGCCCATTTAAAAAATAAAATTTTAAAATTGAAATTTTTTAAAAGCAGGCCGCCTGCAAAATATTACAATTACACACCAAAATCAATTTGAGTTTAAGACACGGACGGCACTATTTGAGCATCGGACCAATATTTCATTAAAGGATGGGTAATAACACTCCAATTGACAGTTCAGTCCAAGAGAGCGAGAGAGTAATGTGTTCATGGTGCAGTTCAGCATCCAGGCATTACTCCAAAAGGTTAGGATAGGAGAAAAATACTCACAAATTTCGAATCACAGCCTTCTGATATTAATTTCAGTGTTTGAGCTGCTGCCGCAGTTATTCTTGTGATACCTTTTGATCCCCGAACAGTCCACATTCTGTAGTCAATATTCTCATTAATTTGAGCCACTATGACCAAGAGCATAACAATCTCAACAGATATGAGACAAGCTGTCCTTCTAGATTGTAGGTGAAGAGAAAAGGACAAGAAACAGTATACCTAAACATAGATTGCTAGAACATTCATGGCTAGGTACAGAATATAAAACAAATTTAGCAGGCCAGACATTTTTCCAGAATCCAAATCATTACAAGGAAAATTGAATTTTAGAGGCATGTAAACGTCTTACACTGGCAGCTACGAGTGACATATATTAAGTAATGGACAGTATTTCTCTAAAGTGTTCTAGCCATTGGGATACAAACAAAAGCAGACAAAATTAAATGGAGGAAAAAATGAAAAAGAGGAATTGCAAGTCCTTTCATAAATATGCGGATGATGTATTTCATCAGAAAAATTATGGTCATATTTTAGCTTAAAGACAAATAAGTACAAGCAAGTTATGAATGAAAAAACCAATGTCCTTAACCACGACAATGAATCGAAATCAATAGTTGATTCATCATCAAATCAACAAATTTAAATAGCAGAGAAATAAGACAGAACTTGTAAGAGAAACAGGAGAATCAGAGAGAGATTTTTTTTTTTAGCCTTCAATTAAAAAAAAAACCAAATAACTTCAGCCGGCTCGGGCTGAGCCTCATTTTTTTGGCTGGGCTTTGTTTAGCTCGGCTCGGGCCCAAAAAAGCTCTAGCCGAGCCCGAGCTTTTTTTTGGCTCGGCTCGGCTCGTTGACATAGCTATCGTGCACATCATGAACTTGCCCCATTGCAATACATATGTATCCCTATTTAATTGTACTAAAGATCTTAAATAGTTGTTCATCGTGACACTCATGTCATTACATATAATATTTTTTATTGTTTCAGCGCTCCTCGGAAAATGTTGTATTGTTTGGTATTCATTTGTTTGAGTTTGAGGGCTTTAAAATGCCAATAATCATAAAAGGAAGGAAATGAAAATTATATGCTTTACCGCTTACTTGCATACTCTGTTGTGATTTGCAGTGAAAAATGTGGATTTTGGGAGTGGGTCCGACCAAGAGAATCAAGTCGCGAGTCGAGTACTGGTAGCGTTACTGCGGTTAACCTAGTGGCGAACGTAGCAGTTGAACATATGCCCCGCATGTTCCAATCTCCAGTTCGGCTAACTAACGAAGAAGAACTTCAAATTTCTGTGATCGTGACGATTCACAACGGAAAAACAAGTGCCAAAGGGAACACAAAAGGAAAGGGGCCTGAATGAAGATGTCGCGCTAGTGAAGATTGATCGAGTCGTGGCTAGGGTTTCAATCTCTTGGGGGAAAGGGGGTAATGTAATTCGAAGTTTTACAATGCCCTTTTTCCTTTTTGTTTTTTCTTTTAAAGTGCCACATCAACAATTTCAAATTTTCATGTACACATAGCTTTATTCTCTTTATATAGATATTCAGTACATTGGAGAACCGTTGATGGTAATCATAATTGTGGGCCGAATTCCACTAACTAATGAAAATTTAAGACTAAAAAAGTTATGGTTAGGGACAAAAGTGCACCGAGGGGGCAAATGTTGGGGACAATAGTGTAATTTACCCTTTTTTCAAAACAGCCTTTGCTCCGCCTTGTTCGTTTTAAGAGCCGCACATTTACCAACAAGACGGGTCACAGAATGGATGCCCATCATGAAGTCATCCCATTGCAATCCATTTCCATCTCTATTTAATTGTACTAAAGATCTTAAATATTTGTTCATCGCCACACTCATGTGTCGTTACATATATATAAATTTTTGCATTCTTATTTTCGAATTTTCAGCCATTACTAAAATTGGTTCTTGATGATGACTTTTGTTCAAATAAATCCGTTGACGTGTTTTGAAATGATGAGCAAATATTATTGTCTTGCTTTTCTATCATTGACTTTTGTTCAAAAAAATCACATTGGAGAACCGTTGCTCAACTAGTATTAACACCCAGCTTAAGGACTAATTAATGAAAATTTGAGGTTAAAAAAGTTATCCAAATAAGGTTAGGGACATAAGTGCAACGAGGGGATCTGAATTTTGGTTTTTAAGTATGGTTCTTACATATATGTTACTTACGAATGTTGCATTTAAATTTGTATCGAAAGAAAAATATTTAGCAGTTGTTATACTATGCTGGAACATCTCTTAGATTCAAGGTTTGCCATTATGTATTAATGAAAATTGTACAAACATAAGGCATTGAAAACATAATTAGATTATCATAGAACTCTAGCTTCTATCAGGACAAAATTGGCAGCAAGGTAAGCCATGTCTTTTTCTTTCAAAATTTAATGGGTTGGTCCATTGCCTAGTTCTAGGGTTGAGGACGTCGTAACTGAGACCACGTATGGCTAGGGCCACTAGGTGGGTCGTCCCTAAGGTCGAATCTATAGGCTTAGTCACGTATGACGCAGATGGCCTGCCTTACTCGACATCCCTTTAGCAAAGACTAAAGATTGTTGTCAAAATGGTATGCTAGCCGGAACATGCTAGCCTCACCCAGTTAAAAATAAATTAGCCCAAGAATTAACTCGACCCACCTTGGTTGGTTTGGGTGGTGGTTTGAATTGGGTTTTGTTAGCTGCAATGAGGGCCGAGGTGAGATTCACTCGTCTTTCTCTCGTTCATAATTTTTTATTCACATTGATTACAAATAACTATCGCGTTATCGTTTAATTGAGTACACGATGGAAACCATATAAAGGGACTAAATTTGTCAAACATGTTAAAGGTCGAACACCATTACAGTTAGTTTTGTACGTTA